CTTCCCTTAATCTGCGGATAAATGCTCCAATTCTTGTTAACAGAGCTTTGTGCTCCATGGTGAGCACACATGCAATGAACAGTCACAGGGGCAGGTAAAGAACTTGGATTCGGGATTGGTCTGTGCTAATTATCTTCATTCTCCTCCACCTGCCACCCAAAACAAGACTTCATTAAAAGAAAGGTTTTCTAAGATCCTCAGCAGCCTGGACTTATTTTAACCTGAAAAAATCAGACCCTCCTGCACAGTACAGCGTGTTCTCAGCAATGTTTGCTCAGTGTGGCTAGGCAGCACAGCTCCACCTCCTGAATTATTTAGAGGACACATTTCCTGCAGCACCTCCCAACCTCAGACCTCCAGCTCTGTAGGAGAGTATTCAGAGAAGCACAAACCCTGAACAAGCCCTTCCCAGCAGCAGAAGCAAGCAGGGCATTGCAGCTGTCTGAGATGGAGGTGGCAGCAGGCAGCAGTCACCACGGGCAGTGAGGGCAGCCATGGTCTGCAGAGACCAAGAGCTGAATGCTGTCAGAGGTCTAGCTAAAACCATAGGAAGCCTTGGTGCAGAGATCTTCCCAGGCCAGCACTGCTCACCACTACAAGCCCATCACCTCCAAGGAAATAACACTCAAAGGCAACATGAAAGCAGACAAAGTTTAGTTACATTCTCATTTCCCAGATCACACATTATTCAAATATATATATATACATATCCCACATTACTCAAAAAACGACAGTTTTTGAGTGGGTTGCTGTCAATCTGTAGTATGCTGTGAGATAATACCAGTTCTTTGACAGACAGTCTAAGATCTAAAATAAACCACATGAGTTTTATATAGACAAACTATGAAAAGAAAACGAGTAAAAGACACATCCATATCTAAATGCTCTAAAGAAAACACAGGCAGCCAAAGCTCTTCTCTCTCGCCATCACGTACTGTACTACCCAAGACTTACTATTTTAGGACTATTTCTGGTGCACTGATTGGAGAAGATACCTACAAGTCAGATACATGTATGAATACTTCTACACCCTTCTTTTTCCCTTCTTCCTTTTCTACTTCCATTTCCTTTCCTCTACCTGTTCCTTGACTAGTGCACAAGCTGTACAGGGAGTGTCTTTCACAACCTTCAAGGCAGGTATGGTGTTTTTATTAGCATTTACAGGATTGAAGACTTTCACAGCTTTCGTCTGGACAATCCTAGCACCTGGCTGCTGCTCAGAGCTGGAACACCACAACACCTTGTGCCTATATACACTTAGTTTGTATATGTTGGTTTGGTGGTGGAGCAGAGCAAGCACTGGGGCTTCCACCAGTTCAAGGCAGTTGAGCAACATGGAAAACACATGGTTCAGCACAACCTTGCAGTTGTCTACTGCAGCAAAGGCCAAATCACAGCAAGAAAATTTCGGACAGCACTACCAATTTGATGGTTGGACTGGATGATCTTAGAGATCATTTCCAACCTTAATGCTTCTACGATTCTAATTACAAAGCCTTTAAAGTCCGTCTGGTACTCTCAGTGCCCTGAAAGAACAAGATTTAAAACACCTGTAGTCAAACTCAACTCCTCACCTCTCTACTTGCAACAGAAGTCAGAAAGATTTCCAATGGACGCCTTTCCCAGAAAGGACACTCCACACCAGTGTCCCAGAGAAACTACACACCGTGTAACCACAGCACCTGTGGTCTGCAGGCACGGATCAGTATCCATGAAGATTTAGACCTTCAGTAAATTCCTTCACATAATCTGTAAAGGTTTAGATCTTCAACAAATGTAAAACGCAGTTCCTGCCTCCTAAGCAGACCATCAAATCTGAAGGCATCCTGCTCAATTTATGTTGTGCAGAGAATGAAAAAGACATAATGACTCCACGAACAGCAGGTTCCAGGTCGTGCACAGGACACCCGGCCCAGCACAGCTGTCTATGAGTAGCACTGAGCAAAGTGAAGGTCTATGGATTCTGCAAAGGGCCGTCTAAGAACACTGCTGGAGAACATCATAGCACAGGCACAATATTGAGTAAAGCAATGAAGGAGAGCGAATGAACTTCTTCAGAACCCTTTAGGCACGAAGAAGGCAATCAGAGCCTACAGAGACAAGGGCTGGTTCCCACCATCCTGCCTGAAACACTCTCCCTCCTTCCTTCCCGTGAGGAACACGGTTTTGTGGGCATGGTGGTGACGGGCTGACGTGTTGGACTAGATGGTCTTAGAGGCCTTTTCCAACCTTAATGACTCTTTGATTCCCCAACTGAGGCTCACCCCACACCTCCTACGCAACAGCAACCTCCTTTGCCCGGGCAAGCCCCGCTCCCTGGGCCAGCCGCCCCTGCCCTGTCACCTCCCCAGGTGACACCCGCACCTGCCAGCGCCCCAAGCCGCTGCCCTCACCAGGGCTGCCCTTCCCCGCGAGTGCCGTTCCCTCCGCAGCCCCTCCTGCAGCCCACAGCAGCCCCGTCCCCATGCTGCTCCTCCAGCCCCAGCACGGTCCCAAACGCCGCTCCCTGCGCCCCCAGCTCTATTTCAGTCCCAAACCTCGGCACACCCCCCAGACGCTGCCCCCAGCCCACAATTCGCCAGCTGACAACCCTCGCCCCTCGCAGCCAGCTGTCGCTCAGGACCCCCCAGCACACACCGAACCCTCCGACCGGCGCCCCCCGGGCTGCCTCCTACCTGGGCGGGCTCCACGCTGGCGGGCAGCCCCTCGGGCAGCGCCTGAAACAACATCAGGGCCATGGCGGCGCGAAACCTCCTCGCCATCCCCCCCACCCCCCGCTCCCCGCCTCCCCAGCCCGACTGCGGCCCGGGACGGGAGCCGAGGGGGCGCCCCGCGCCTCGTCCCGCCCCACCCGATCGCTGATTGGGCAGACGGCGTGCGATTTGGACGGCTATTGGCTCGACGCGCCATCGTTCAGGGCAGAACGGAGAGGGGCGGGGTCTGCTTGCAGGGAGCTGCCATCTTGAGTGTGGCGCGGCGGAGAGGGGTCCCGGGGTAGTGTGATGGCCGCCATGCTGTGAGTGGCGGAACTGGCTGGAAGAGGGGTGTAGGCGCTGCCCCTTGTGCCTGTGCCCCGACAAGGCGTGCAGCGGCTGTCTCACGCCTGTCAGGGTCTCTCTGGTGGCCCTGGAGCGCCCGTCCCCATCTGCTGGCCATGTCTTGTGGCTTTAAACCTTGCTCAGCCTCTCTGCAGTGCACACAGAGAGCCCTAAAGCCAAGCAGCCCACCCAGGCCTGGGGGTTCACCAGGAAACGTGCAGGAAGGCGGCTACAATGGCCACAGCAGCAGCAGCAGGCAGAAGCAGTGCGTGCTGTCAGCTGCTGCTGATGTCAACAACACTGCTAGCCCCACACCCGGCCCTGAGGATGGGGCAGCGGACTGCAAAGCCACTTCTTCCCCACCATGGTGCCAGGCTGCTGCAGTGCCGTGCTCCCAGCCCTACGTGCTCCCATTCAGCCGTACCCAACTGCCATGCTTGGGTCTCACCCAGACAGGGCTGGGGGATGGCCCTCATCCTCCAAAATCCAGCAGTTGGTGACGGCTGCTGTAGGGAGCCACAGTTGGAGAGGAGTGGCACGTGGAAGGGATGTCCCACCACCGACGTGTCCCAGCACAGCCATCCCCTGCCTGGGCTTGTCCCAGGTGCAGGTGGCAGCACTTGGGGATCACTCGCAGCTCGTGGGCAGCGTGCGGGCTTTGTGCCATGCCAATCCCTGAGTGCCAGGCAGCCCCCACGGGGCATTGGCACGGTGATGCTTTGTGAGATGCTCTGATAACATGCTCCGAAAAGAAAAATAATCAACTTAGCAGCTTATCTCCTGCCCCTGGGATTTTTCAATCAGGGCGATACTTGGGGCACACCTAACCCTGCACCCCTGCGAGTGTGGGCCGGCAGCAGTTAACCCATTGGGCACACACCCTGCATGCTTAACCTGCACCTCCAGCAGCACTTGGGCAAGGATCTGGGGCTGCTGATCATTCACTGAAAGAAATTTTGGTCTTCTGTGACTCACCAGCCCTGCTGCAGCCCAACAGAACGTCTTTGGTCTGGTTGTTATTGAAAGAAGGTTGTAAACATGCTGCAGCACCAACATTTCAGCCATGCAGAGCTTCGCTCCTTTTCCCATCCTACCCTGAAATTAGAAGTAGGAAGGAGGCAAAAGCCAGAGCATGGGACATGCCCAGATTGGGAGTGACTCATCACTGGAGTGTAATTAACACCCGCAGCTCTTCACAAATAGGGCTGAGTCCGGCACTGACTTCTGGCAGTGAAGTTTCCTTCCTGTTGCAGTAGTGTGATGCAGAGCTGATCTGGACAGAACCTGGCAGCACGGGGCTGCACTGTCTGCAACCACCTGCCAGCCCTCCACATTGTTCTGGAGCTGTAAGTGGCAGAGATGGCACGAATCCTCCTGTGGAGGCTCCTGCTGCAGCTTAAAAACCCAGACACCCTGCTGTGCTGCTCTTGGCCAGCATCAACCTGTGCAGGTCTGAAGAGGGAATCCATTGCTATGAGCTTGGTGGTTTCTGGCTTGAGAACAGTGCTGGTCAGCCTCATACCCGTCCCAGCACAGATCAACCCTCTTCTTCTTGCCCAGTGCATTGTGTGCACCCCATCCTGCTGCCCAGGACTAGGGGGAGAGGGCAGGAGATAGCAACAGCTCTCCAAAGCATGCTTTCTGTGGGACTTTGCATTACAAACATCACCGCATTTGCAAGCATGCTGGGCACTCCTTGGACCCAGCTCCATTCCAGGCTGCTGAATATACCTTTCTGAATGTGCTCACAGAAATTTGGGGTGTAGGACAGGAGCAATCTCAATGTAGGAGTTCAAAGAGCAGCAATGTCTTCCTGTGGCACTCAACTGGAGAGACATGGTTTGTTTCAGGTGCAAGCAGAGAGCCCACACCTTCCCTTTTTCCAAGGCAAGTATGACCCATGCACCAGCACCATCCAGGGAAGCAGGCACCCAAAGACCAGCCAAAAGCAAAGCCCACAGCTGTTTTAAAAATCACCATGTTTTATTTGCCAACCCCCATCTCTGTCATTTGCAGTGTGGTCTGTTTACAGCCTGAGTTCAAAACCCAATGGCTTCATGACCCTCCCTGTGTGAGGGGTCCAGAATCAAGTGTCCCCCAAGTCCTTGGTCCCACCACAGGAACAGTGAGGCACAAAATGGCAAGGTGATGCCTGGCTTAGTGCAATGTGCTGATTGCAAAATTCAGAGCTTAAAAACAATTAGCTATTTATCTTTGGGATTGTGCCAATCGCAAAGTGAATAAAACCTGAATCTGAGAGCAAGGAAGGCACAGTCCTAGCACTGGTCCCAGGACTTTGGTGTGTTCCCCTACACAGGGGACAGGTCCTTTCCCACTCATTGTGGGGTCTCCAGCTCTTGCAAAGAGGCCCCTGCAGCAGTTTAAGGCAGCAATGTGGTTTGGGGTGGGGGAAATGGGAGATGATTCCAGCTCCACTCCGACTGGGTTAATGGGGGCCGCACCATGCATCCAAGCCCCGCTCTGACACAGGGCTGGCAGTGGTGGGGGGCTGGAAGGGTTCAATGGCTCCCGAAATAGCCTCTATTCACAGCCCTTTGTTAAAGTAGACAAATGGCACTTTGTCTCCGTGCTTGGTCACGATGCTGTCCCGCAGCTCCGGCTCAAGGTCAGCCAGCGCAAGAGAGCTGTGGGGAGAGGGACAGACACTGAGACCACCATCCTGTTCCTCCTGGGTGCTCATCAGGATGGGCTGTGGGGAGTGAGGGAAGGAGAAAGGCTCCCATAGAAAGCCATGGACAGGTACCATCTCTGAGGGAACAGGGCACAGGCCACCGGCACCATGAACAGCAAGCTGTGGGCAAAGGAGAGTGGGTATTAGTGCTGGGGCTGCTTATCCCCAGCTGCAAGGTCCCAGTCCAGGACCCAATTTAACAGAGCTCAGGTTGGAAGGAAAGCAGTTTTGCCATCTCCGCTAAGTGGGTTTTTTTTCCAGGGTGACTTCAGGCATCCTCTGGAGCCATGCTGTTCTTTTGAGATACTCACAACCCACCACACAGCAGCACCTGCAGCGGTGCATGGAGAACCCGGATCCGCTGCAGGGGAAGAGCAGGGTCAGTCCCCAGCTGGCTGCCACAATTACACCCAGAGCAATTCCACACCCAGAACTCACCTGCATGAAGGGGAACTTCTCCAGCCGCTCCATGATGATGGGCAGAATGACTGCATGCGGGGAGAAGAATGAGGGACCGCACGAGCCCATGCAGCTCCATCAGCTCTGGCCAAGCTGAGGGCTGCAAGGTTACAGTGTGGATCTGGTCCCCATCCTCATGCCGCACTCACTCATGCCTGGAGCTGCCATAGTGATCCTGGAGACCACAACCTGTGCAATGCCCTTCACCGCTGCTCTCTGCGAGCAAAAGTGGCTGCTCAGCCTTGCTGCTGTCCAGGTGTCCCCATTCCCATGTCTGCTCTCCCTCCCAGAACACTCACCCTGGAGTGCCCAAGCTCATTGTTGTCCTCATCGGTCACTGAAATCCCATGGATGATCTCCCTGTGGGAACAGCAACACAGTGGCCCTGGGCCACCCCTGGGCTGATGCTGCCACCTTCAGGGTATGGCTGACACAGGGACCCCCACCCCGTGGAACACCTCAAAACTCCTTCAGCTCTAACAACCTCCCTGCAGCACCAGGACAGCACAGACTTCAAAATGGACATCTTCACCCCAAAACCACCCTCCTGCTTTGTTCGATGCTGGGCCACACCACCAGGGACGCTCTCCCAGATGCAGGGTGGTGATCACACAGATCCCATCCCACCTCCCCCGTCCTTCATCATGGCCGGGGAGTGGAGGCAGACCCCAGGTGCACTCACTGTTGCCTCATCATTGGGATGTTCACGCAGTTGGCAGCGGCTACAGCTGCAAAAGGGACCCAGCGGGCGAGCAAGGGAGGAGCACGCTGCAGGATGGAGGATGGGATCAGCATGGGGATGGGATGCAGCCAGATGCTGCTGCAGCCCCGTCCCTACATACCTTGGTGTAGAGGTTGAGTCCCACAGCAGTGGCCAGGGCTGTTGTGGTGGCCGTGATGTAAGCCACTCCTATTTGCCTGGTGATTTGCAACAGATGCATGGAAATATAAAACAAAATGCTGCCTTTGACACAGAGATCCTGCTCCTTTGGTGCCTGAACATCTTTTTGGCACAACCCACAGGCAACAGGGGTCCCATCCCAGGGGCACACTCACGCCAGAGAGATGGGGGATGCGGCGTTGCGGTTGGTGTAGTTGACGATGGCATTGAAGGATTGGTTCACCCACTGCCAGAACACCACAGCCGGCACTGTCCTGCAGAGGGAAAGGGCACAGAGAGTGCCCAGGGGCCATCAGGGGACAGACAGGATGCCCTCCATACCCTTGTCCTGGTGTCTGCTGGGGGAAACTGAGGCACTGCAGCCTGAGGTGAGGGAGTGTGGCAGGGGCAGGGCTGGGAAATGAATGTGTTTGAGAGGGTCCTGCAGACAGCACAGGAGGCGGCACAACCCTGAGGGATTTGGGATGGGGACGAGATGCAGGCTGAGGTAGGCCCTCAGTGATGGGAGCAGCAAGCACATGAGGACAGAGGTGTCTGAGGATGACCCACACCTGGGCTCCCAGCATTGTCTCAGGGATACCAAGGAGAGCCATTAGTGCCCCTGGAGGAGTTGAGGGCTGTCCGGGCTGTGTCCCAATTTGTGTCCCCAGCTCTCACCGGTAGAACTGCAGCATGCAGCCAGTGAGGGCCATGCCACCTGGCACCTGGAAGGACATCCTGCCAATGAGGTTCATCTTCTCACCGCTGTCGGGGTGGAAGGCCGAGTCGTACAGCTTCTTGGCATACAGCAGCTGCTCCCGGCTGCTTCCCAGCGGCACCATCCCAGCCCTGCAAGCCCGGAACCGCGGGAGCTCAGCCACGATAGCTCAGGGCTCCCAGAAACCCAATAAACATCCACAAAACCACCTCTGACGGATCATAGAATCGTTTGAGTTAGAAGGGCCCCTTAAATGTCATCTAGTCCAACTCCCCTGCAATGAACAGAGACATCTACAGCTCGATCAGGGTGCTCAGATGCTGCACCAGCACTCGGGCAGGTGCCAGGCACACCTTCAGCACCGCGCCGGTGCCACCAGCACACGCTTACCTGCAGCCTGCCACCACGGCCTGTGCCCGGTCCAGCTCCCTCTCCGGCACCAGCACGGTGCGTGGGTCAGTGATGTTGAAGAAGTGCCACAGCCGCCCCACGAAGGTGCTCTGGTCCCAGCGCGGGGCGTCGATGTCGAAGCCGAGGGGCACAGCAGCCATTTCGGGATAGTGCTGCGTTGCCGTGGAGCGTTGCACCGGGTGAACTGCTGCAGGTTTATATTTAACGTCTGGGTTGGACTTTCAGCGGCCCCGTACCCAAGGCATTGCTGCCACCGGCCTCCAACAGCGCTGCTGCAATGCACCGCATTTTCCCTGCATGGGGCAGCCCTCAGTGGACTGCATCGCACTGCCCTGCAAGTGTTTCCCTCCGGGTCACTGCACGGCATACCCTCCACGCGCACACTCATCCCCGCGGTACTGCACTATGCTCCGTGTCCCTGCAGCACTGCAGGTCGCTGGCACTACACTGCACCCTCCCATGCCCACACTGCAAGCCCCAGAGCACCGCCCGCACTCTCGTGGCATTGCACCCTCCGGTGCCCGTACTGAACAGCCCTACAGACAGCTCAACAGCGTAGTGCACCCCCCGACGGCACTGCACAGCACTGCATCCTGACCGCTGCACACACCCCCACGGCATGCTTCATGTTACGCTACCCTGCACCCCATCAGCACTGCATGCTTCCAACGGTGCTACGTCGCACTCCCTCCCCCCTTGACAGTGCCTCGCAGCGCACTGCTGACTGCACATCCGTAGAGCCGCACAGAGACCCGGTGACGTGCACTGCACTGCTGTGCCTAGCATTGCTACGCATCGCATCGCATCGCGCAGCAACCCATTACGCCGCCCGCGCAGCCCCACTCAACCCGCGCGCCCCAAGCCCACGTGGCCCTACCTGCGCGGCCCCCAGACCCTCGGCGCGCCGCGTGGCCGCCCTCAGCCAATCAGAGCGAGCCGAAAGGCCGCGCCCACCTCCCGGCGGCGGGAGGAGAGCGAGCGCGCTCTGGATGGGAGCGGAGCCAGAATCGGCTCCGCCCCCTCCCGCGGGCCGTGAGCGCGTTCCGTACGTCCGGCGGGAAGCGGTGACGCGGGACGTAGCGGCGGCGTGTGTGTGACGCAGTTGCCCATGGTAACCCCGCTGCCGCGCAGAGGATGGTGAGCGGGGCGGGGGCGGCGGGACGGGCCCGGCGGGAGATCGGGGCCCTGGGGGGGTCCGGCCGGAGATCGGGGCGTTGGGGGTGCCGGGGTGCCTAACAGTAGGCGG